TTTTACCCCCAAAAATCCCCCGCCCCCGCCGATGGGGGTGGGGGGAATTCTGGGAATTGAAGTCCACACATCTTAAAGTTGCTAAGGTTGAGAAACACTGCTGTCATATATTAGGAAGGTAGAAACCACAGTACAGCATGGAATACTGATGGGGGCACAGAGCTGTGCAGTAGAAGATAAATACTGAAAGCTTCAAAACTAGACTAATATGTGTAATCACCTCCAAAATCTCTTCCTACCCCACCTCAATAAAACAGTGAGGTCCAGGATCTAAAATGATCATGTTTCTCACCTGATTGGCTTATAAAAATAGCAAATCAGCAGGAACTGAACCTGATCTATGAATTACTTCTCCAAACCAGTAAGAATCCAAAAAACAGGTGCAAAAATAGAAGGTGCTTATTCAGAATTACTGGGTGCTGAGTGCCCTGAATCGTTACCTTTTGAATTAGCATTGTTTGTAGACATGTGAACGATGGCTTTGTAAGATCCTCCCAAAGATCCAGAATGCAGGAAATGTGTTCCATAATGTTCAATTACTCTGTGATATGCATTATGTTCATAGAAGGAGGGAAGATTAGAAAGTTCTTTCCAAAAGGGCTCCGCAAGGTTTAAAAAAGTTGGTTGATTATTGAGGAACTGAGCAACTTCCACTGAATTTTCAATAACCATAAGGTAGTTACTCTAGAAAGACAAGACATCAGTCAGGCAGCTGTTTTCACAATCATACAAGGAGGATGGATAAGTGAGCTGGTATCCATTGCACATGCCATAGTTGGGTCACCATCTAAACTTGCATTCTTCAAAATTCAATGATTGGAGTCCTCTGCCCAGCAAATGGCATTCACAAATATACAAATAAGGTTCTGTATATAAAACTTTGGAGTTTACAGGCAAATGCCTGCAATTGTCTCAGGTTAGTCATATAAATATTTACTTCAGCCTATCGCTGGTGCAAAACAGTGCAGACTCTTCTCAGTCCTGGCAACTGATTTCCCTTTCCCTCTACCTCAGTGTTTCTCAACCTTGGCAACTTTAAGATGTGTGGACTTCAATTCCCAGAATTCCCCTACACATTTTGCTGAGGTGCCTTTTCAACATGGCACACAAACATCCCAAACATTACAGGTAGTCCTTGTTTAGCAACCACAATTGGGACCAGCAACTTGGTTAATAAGTAGAGCAGTTGCTAAGTGAAACTGCAACTGTGCTTATGATCTTACTTCAGTTTTCCTTTGCTTTACAGACCTGCGAAGATCGTAAATGTGAGGATTGGTTATAAAGTTACTTTTTAATCACTACTGTAATTGCAAATGGTCGCTAAATGAGGCAGTCACTAAATGAGGACTACCGGTACTAGCAAATTAATTATTGTCTAGCCTGCTAAGAGGCTAATAACTGGGGGTTATCTGCCTCTGATCAACCAATGAATGAAACTATCTATCTATCTCTGCTAGTCAACTTCTAGTCATCTATGGTGACCAAGCAAGAAATTAAATATAAGGGATTCTAGAATCAAGAATCAAATGCTTTTAGCAACTGAGATTGTTCTTCCTGTTTTTTAACACACTTGAACTTAATGTTGGAGTTTTTAATGACCTGATATTAGAGATTTGTGAGACATTTAGAGATAAACATTGCTTGTCTTCATGCTGACCTGAACACTATTTATGATAGAGTATATACTGAAGTGTCTGGCATATTGGATTGCTTCTGGTATTTCACAGACAAATGGACAAGTTACTTATAGTTGTATAGCCTACCACATGCTTTCTTGATTGAAGCCTATCTTGATTATTTGATCCAATAAACATGTAATTTCTATATAGTTTTTAAGTTATTATTTGTATTTTTGTATTTCTGTTGTTCTGTTAGAAGCTACTTTGAGATTCACAAGAGAATAGCTAACTAAATGAGAATGATAATGATGATGATGATGATGATGATGATGATGATGATAGACCATAAACTACTTTTGCAATTACTATCAGTTTTTCAAAGGTTTTTACCATGTAGCAATGGCAATGGTTGTATGCACGTGGGCCTCTGTTCCAGATGCCTGGGTTTAAAACAACCTTGGATGCCCGAAAATAGCTGGATAGATTTTGGGACCCTGTTCTAGAATTTGTATAATTGGCAACTTAGCTGACCTTAGCTGATCCTGAGGAAGGTCAGTTCTTGTTAAGATTTGAATGAGAAACATACTACATAGGAAATCCTTACAAATCACCTCTGTACTGTTGCCTAGATCATTCCACAGACATATTCCTGAAGTCTCCAAGAGA